GTTTACAACACTAGTATAAATTCAAGCAAAAAAAGAACACTGGTATATAACTTTGATTTCTGTTTTCTTTAATGTAGCATGGTTGTTTTATTGCTTTTTCAGAGAATGAAACAAAGAGTTTCTTCCTGCAAAGAATAATGTTACTTGTTTATATATATATACTTTATACACATAAATTAAAACAATATGCGTACATATGAATAGTGAAATCTTCTGCACTCGCATGTGTAACATTCAATTCCGCAACAAAATTACAAAACCCCCACTTGCCCTTTTTAGTTTTTATCTCCTTCGATCGACCCTGAATTTTTTTGATGAACTAAATTCCAAAAACATTTACGCCAAAACACTTTTTTACTTTATTTGTTTCTGTGAATTTCATTGTCTCTAATTATGATTACAACGCAGCATTCTGACGGTTTGCTCCCTCTTCCAGCTAGACCACCACCTTTCTCTCTATACTTGTAAAGAAAAGAGAATACACTTTTAGACCCAAGAAAATAATACTACATTTTTGCTATTTTTTGTTTATAGACTTATAGTATAAAGAGATTTCTCCACTCATGCTTATACCCAAAAAAGAAAAACATAAAAAAACTTCTCTACCTAATTTATGTTCCAAATAAATGACTTGAAATGAAAATTTATGATTAGTCAAACTGAGAACGTTTGACATTTCGCGTTATGATTTATTGATTGGTATATGAAACTGAAATTTATCATGATGTGTCTAAGAACAATACGTTCACAAATGCTTTTAAAAAAAAATGAAATCTATGTAAAATGATATTTAAAAAAAACTACATGAATCAATTTATGATATAGTAACATACATGTTTTTTTAAAAAATGTTAAAAGTAGAAAAACTAATCAGAGTACTCTAAAACTACACACAATTAATTTATGATTAGATGATTTATTTTGTAGTGCTCTACACTACATAAATTCGTAGATTACTAACTAAAAAAACGAGTATTAACTATTACAGTGATTTAAATGTGGATAGCCCACTCAAACTTTTATTTTCTTTCAAATTATAGTTTAGATAAATGGTTTTAAAGCTCGAAAAAAAGAATAATAAGTCCACAAATCTTTGACATAATGGTAATTAATTTCAAATAGAAACAGTTTTTGTTTTTTCACTGGAATTATCTAAAATATACAGTATATTTTCTGTGAAATTTAATTTTAGATAAATATTTTAAAAACAGAAGCTGGAAAAAAGTATAAAATTTAATGAATTGAATACTTATTTATTATTATTATCACACCCAAACGAATCCTATGTGCGTGTGAGAACCACGATCCAATAACGAAGCTAAAATCTTCAGCTTCGTTGTATCACGAACCTCATTAAATTCCAATTATACCCTTGACAGCGACACA